TTATAAATCCAATAGCAGAAAAATAGTGGTTTTATTTCCGTGAAAAGATTAACGTTTGGTCAATCCCGGCGACTATTCTGACCACAGAGCTACCCTGGACCTTTTTTTTACGCTGATAAATGCGTACGCATACCCGCTTCACCCAGCGCTGGCTGCACGGAATATGTGGGACTCCTCCTGCGGCCCCACCCCCTAAGGGGCAAGACAAGAAGCAGCAGTTTACCCACTAAAACTCAGCGATATCCCTTGCATGGAAGGCGATGCACCGCGCGGTTCGCCCCCATTTCGGCCCGCCCTGAAATCAATTTGTATCAATAATATTTCCGAATAGAGTTTTATGCATATAACTCAGACCTATTTACGGCAAGAGTACCTCTCATTCCGCCGGAGATCTCATTTATGTCCTTGGGGTAGATTGAGATCAAGAGTGAGTCATTATGAATAATAAAAAATATAATAGCGTCGTATACGTACTTGATTCTTATTAATAGCGTAAGTGAAAATATAATGCTAATAGCTGTTTTCCCGCTAATTCACTTGCGTTAATTTTAGCCTTTGTCAAACCCGTACATACCGTAAAAATATTAATTAAAATATAAATATTTTATTGACTTATAAAAACCTAGTTTTTCTTTAAGATATGTCACCTCATTTATTATAAGGAAATTTTATAAGTAACTTTGAAATAAAGTTTCGGTAACATTAAAATAAACTGTAATCAAAATGAGAACACTACGCAATGTGTCATGTAGTTCTCTTATAATTGATTATTGCTTATTTGAATGGTACAGTTTTGTTGCAAAATTCAAAATACAAAAAATTCAATAAAATTAAACAGTTTGTCTTTCAGAGTTCAACCACCTAACCATAACTATAATAGCTATAGCACAGATTGTATCAATTAATATATTATTTTATATTTGAAGGCATTTTTTCACCAAAATTTTGAAAAAAAAAAATCTTACTACCAATATTTTTTAACCTAAATAAAAAAAAAAACAGAAATCAGTTAGGTAAAATTTAAAAATAACAGAAATCACTGATTAAATATAATATTATTAAAAAAATAGCTTTTATAAAAAGATTTCATGGTTCTAGATTTACGTTAGGTCGACTTCAAAGACTGAGCTTTACTTAAAATTCATTAAGTTCATTTAATCAGTACTTTGGTATCAAACAAATGGAAAAATGAATTAACGCAAAATAGAACTAATTGTTAGCTAAGTGGTTGTTAGTGTAACTTATTACCTTTACTTATTCAATCAATTGAATTAACTAATTGACATCTAATGGATGTATACACCTATAAGGGATAACAGTTTGTTTATTAGTAAGAACAACGATTTAGTTCGATGTAAATGATAATAATGATTATATAATATATTTAGAAGATTTATTATGACATTAAAAATTTTTTTTTTTAGTCTTTATACCTACCTAAGTAATATATTATGATTATCTGTTATTAGATATTAGATGTTTATGAAATGAGCCTATCGGACTGTTGCATAAATTTCCAATAAGGTTTAATGACGCCATTAAGCTCTAATTAATGTCCTTAATTTGCAAAATTGTATCGGTAATGTCGCTTTTAAATAATGTTTTAAATTATTTTAATGGACGTTTGTGCAATGTCGTCGTTATTAAAAACCTTCAGTAATTCGTGTATCCATATCTGTACTAATACTATAATGAAGATATATTTTACATCATTAACCGATTTTAAATCATATGCTGTGAACATAGGCTATGTTTTATCGCGAAAAACAGCAAATAGAGAGAAAATGGGAGTGAAAGTTTGTATGTATTTAAATTTTAACATAGTAACCATTGCTAATTATTCCATTTTTCATTGTAATTATATCCGTATCATGATATGAATGGAAATAAAAAAAATGCGATACCCTAGGGACTGACTACGCCACTGACGGAAAGCTAATACCTAATGTAAGGCAAAAATTTCGTTTGTTTTTATGTATTTGGTAAATAAGTAATATCTATAACTACATATTTGTTTTGTCATTATTGAAAATAAAAACAATGAATTAGAAAAACATCATCATTTGCCGACTGTCAGAACTATTTGTTGTTATTTTGTAATTAAACAGCGTCGAGTGAAACCGCAAAACCGCTTATTTATTTAATATTTGTTTATAATTCTAACAAAATATTGAAAGTATATTTTGTCCAATAATTCCGTATGAAATTTCTTCCTTAGTTCCCACTACATTATCTTCGATTTAGTTGACATTGAATTATATTTCAATGTACTTAACAATCAATACTGTATTATAACAGTGAGTATGTTCAATACATTGGGTAGAATCACCTATACAATCGATGTTCAATACAGCTTTGAACGTTGAGTACCATATCATAGCCAATGTACTCACGATGTAGGCTTGCTCATGTAAGTTAAGTCGCTTTCTAGAATTTTCGAAATAAAATTAATTTCGAAAATTCTAGAAAGCGTATTGTATTCATATACATTTAATGTATGATCTGTTTGAAAGGTCAAATGACGCATTTTCACGTCCAAAGGGTTATAATTTCTTTGTTCAGTTTTTATAAAGTCGATAATTTATACTGATTCACCTTTCCATGACACATTAATAATAATACCGTGGACAAGTAATCAATAGACCTTAGACCGAAAGTTATCGATATATTAAGTACAACTAAAGAAAGCATGGCGCTTGGAAGTGATTTGTGAACAATGGATTGATTCGTTACTGATACAATTTCGGCGATCATTATTAAGTACATAATTAATTTAAGAGACAAATAAGGTGCAAGCTTACAAATATTTGGGATTACAAAAAACTACTTATATTTACAAAAATTTGATAATGTCTTGGAAATAAATTGATTTATCCAAAGAATGATCTGCGGAATCTCAGCTATTCATGAGTACAATTAGGCATTTTGTTTACACAAAATTATTTGTTATTATAGTTAACATTGTGCCAAATACAGGTTTCCGCATAAAGTTACAATTTTTATAGTAATTACACGAACCACATCACAATAATATATAAATCATGCGTTATCAATCAGCTAGAAAGAAAGTATTAAACGTATTGTTAGAAATATTCTATCAAACAAAAAAAAACTTTAAAATATATATTTTTGACGAAGATATCGTGGAACATAGATACAATAATAAAAATTTAAGTACTCTTTTTTTTATTCTTAAACACTTATTAAATACCTCATTCTTTTTGATGACGAACTCAAATTTAAAACCGCTGGTTCAGCCACTGAATTTTCAACAAAGTGTAACAATTGTGTGCGGCTGAACACTGAATAAAGTTAGGCAAATTAAATAGTTTTTCGTGCATAAATACAGGAAGAGAATTTCTTCGATTCGTAACCAGGGTCATTATCCTAGCTGTTTCAATTAGATGCCTGACGAATCGTCGAGACTGGGTATTCAAGCGAAACGGTACAGACAAAAAACTTGAGTGTATCAATTTAGACATCTAATGTCAAGCTGACTGTATTATATTCGTCTGTGTCATAAAATATCACATTTAAAGTGTTACTTTCTTATTAAAGAGTTACTTATCTGTTTGAAAGTAATAAACTAAAAAAAACCCTTCAAAAACTATCGGTTTCGTATTGTTTATTATAAAAAGCAAATTAACAACTATAGGATTTATTAGGATTCTTTTAGAAAGCTCCTGTAGCACCGATTATAGAGCTTTTTTGAGGTCAATTTTCAGTTTTGAATATCTCTATAAAAATATTTTCAGATCGTTTGATTTGATCGTTTTATCGTGAAGTTTCCACAGGAGCGTGGCGACAGTAGTAGAAGAATCTATTAAAACAGTATACATATATAACATTAGTAACTAACTATAAAAACATTCCTTTAACAGTAATAAAACTTAACGACTATTACGATAGAAATGTGATTAATAGCGTTGTATAAATGCTTGCGATGTACAATGTGTATTGGACACACCATTTCAATTTTCTTTTTCCTTATCAATCCGATTCAGGATTAGAAATGCCGACGCTCGGTCTGAAGTGTCGGACAGAATGTCCCAAATATTACACTTGTCGGCGGCGGCGGCTTGTATCATCCGCAGTGCACGCATGCGCGCTTACGTCCGAAAAAGACGAGGCATTACAATAAATAGAGAAGGGTGCATTAACCGAAATCGATGTTACGCGAAACGGATATGTTCCTTTCTCTTTCATCGCCAGTACACGAGCACGGAAAATGCACCGGTGGGTCTGTTTTTGGTACGCGGTGAACTCAACTGGCACTCTGAACAGCGTGAATTCGTACCAACACCGCGTTCGCGTACTGGCGATTCTAAACATACCATTTTAGTACGTAATACATGGTTAGGGTTGTAAGCTTAGAATAAATACAGTTAGACAGTTGTTGCATTTAATAATATTTTTGAAATTATGGATTTTTATTAGAATATCATATTATTATTAAATAATTAGTCATTGGTTTTTATAAATAAGCTTTAGATAAATAAATATATGTTATCGTTCATAGATGTTGTGTGTTCTAGATAATTCTCTGAAAGAAAAAATATTTAATGTTGGATAATTGGTACATTTAAATTTAGATAAAGGTACCGTAAAAATATTAAATGAAATATATTTGTTAGCAAATAATATTTTGTGTAAAACAATAAAATAAGGAAAAGCGCGAAAGATCTTTGATGACTAATATCATTACATTTAGTCAACAACCCTATTTTGTCAACTAACCCAAAAATGTCGCTGTTAATTCTCATCGACATCGAATAAAACTTTTACATCACGTTACAGATCAATTAAAAATAAAACAATGAGAAATTGTAACAAGACGCGTTACGTCACAGAGTCGTCAATCGATTGCCAATGTTTTAGGTTCACAACATTAAACAGCTGGTGTGCCTCGGGCCGCTCCGGCTTTGTTCGCTGCCAGGGACGAGAGCGCAGTACACGACCACATTTGCCTAACTCGACTTGACTCAAGTTCGTTGTCGTTTAGTTAGTGGCAGTCGAGTGGACGCGCGAGTCGCTACACTCGCCGCTCACAGTATTCTTCATTTAAAAATCCACATTTATGCGTAATTAGTTTCGTGTTGAATAATACTCGATGTCAGTGAATGTGCGTTATTCTGTGTTAGTTCAGTGATTGTGTGGATTACTGCAATAGAATTGTGATTCAGGTAAACATTAATAACACCAACGGAAACAAAAGCACCTTTCTTCTTTAGATTTAAGAGCTCATTTTTATGTCACCTTATTATGTGATGTACTTTATGGTGATTTGAATCTGTAGTGGGATACTAATTGATGTTCGGCTAATACGTTAATTCGGTCGCCACCTGGCTATAACAACACTATGACTTAATTTAAAAAAAAAACTAGCTTTGCCGGCTGTTAAATAATAAACCAATTATTTTTTTATTGAAACAACTATAAATTTTTTTATACATACTTTTTCATTTTTGTTTGGTAACTGATTTATACTATATAATAATTTTAATCCGTAATTTTTATGAAGATTATTCATAGGCCAATTTTATTATCATTATTATTGTTGCCAAAAATCTCCTGAAATAAATTGCTAAAATTCGTAAGTAAAATAAAACGTCTAGCTTGGTGACTTTTCGAATGACATATAATAAATTATTTTGTGAAAGTATTATAAAGTAAAAAAGGCATTTAACCTCCTTTGTCGGCAGCAATTATTATATACTAAGTAAAATAAGAAATAATTACAAAAGGATTTTTTGTCCTTACTGTATGAATTTCCTCGACCTATATTCGTCAATAGAGTAGACCGTAACTGAAAAAACGATATTATCGATACGGCAAGGTTTAGTAAAAATAATAAGATTTATTTTGGAAATACATATATATAATGGATCAAGGATATTTGTGAAAAAGAAAATACCTAGTCGACTTTTAATAACAACTGCACAGCTGATTAAATAAACATTAAAACTGGCTGACCCCACAAAATTATTTATGTCTGACAGGCACTTCTTCCTCGGTTTCATAAACATTAATATTATCATATTTGTGTACATTGGATTTTGTACAAAAATACAAATCAGTTTTTTTATAATTATCTTTTATGAGTCAACTCTATAAATTATAAATTAACACTTAAACAAAAAAATGTACGAAAATTACGCGGCTTAAGGAATATGATTGATACACTTAAAATTTATATAGATAAGTGTAGAACGATATTGTTTTTTACAATTAAATTAATAAAACATTAAAATAAAACGATTTCACTTTTGTTTGAATGTCAAATAATCATAAGAGAAACTGGTCTTTGATAAAATTCTTTGAATAATCTTTTTAATTCGCGCATATTTGTGATCGTGCATAAAAACTACCAAGAATCCGTCTTTAAAATGGTGATTAAATTTTGACTGCAAATTTTTATATCAAAAATCAGTAAGCATTAATTAAAAGCCTTAGATTTAGCTGCTTGATTTTATATCCTGTTCAAAATACAACGTCGACTGCAGCCTTGACCGCAGCACTGTCGTAGCATCGGAGGTTCAATCAAATAAAACAACTTCAAGAGGTTAAAAAAGTTTATAAGGTTGTGATCGAGGTACTTATATATATATATTTTATGTAAAATGCACATATTTTCACACCTTTATGGAGTGATCTCTTGCAACTTTTAGAATGACGATATTTTATAAATGTGATAAAAAAAAATCATATATATTTTTCCTATAATTTTTGTTTACGAAAAAATCTAACGATAAAACTGAAAATTTGACCTTTTCACCTAAACATTAAAAAAAATCATATATATTTTTCCTATAATTTTTGTTTACGAAAAAATCTAACGATAAAACTGAAAATTTGACCTTTTCACCTAAACATTTTTTTACCACACACGTGAACTCCGAAGACTTTTGACACTTCAATCCGAGTGGTGCAAAATTCATCTCTGTCGGATTTTTTGTTATTTAGAATGCCTTTTTCACCAGCCTCACATTGGTTTATTCGGCACTTCAGATACATTCGAAATAGATCACTATTCTGAGTCCTATGTCAATGAACTCGTTCTACACGGAAATGTCATTCTAAATTCATTTCTGTGGCCCTTTATCCAAAAATGGCTACAAAATTACTTAACTGTTAGGTATTTCAGAGTCATACCGCACGCAAGGTGTTATTTAATTTTTTTTCACGTAATTTTTTTGCCAGTTTGTGTATGATATCATTTCGGCACTTATTACTTGCGTTTTTATACGTCATTGAAACAAAAAAGGAAGTCTTTTTGAAATATTAAATAATAGATGATTCAATACAGCCATCTCTGCTCATGATTCTTTAAAGTACCTAATTTACAAGGTTCAATTTTGTTTTGACAACGCTTGATGAAAATTAGGTTTTCCTCGCGAGTTTTTCTGAATGAAATAAGTATTTTCAGAACCTTTTTTCTCTGTTTCGAAATTATAAGCAAACAAAGTGATCAGTGGCTTTAAAGTTCATGGATGGTGTCCCATAAAATTCCACAAATTTTTTACTTTTTTCTGGCATCATTGCCGGGAAAAACTGTAATTTTTTGAAGCTTTTGTTCCAGAAAACTATTTATTACTTATTTTACTGAAGCATCTTTTATTTCATTGAGTTTGTATTACACGATTAATACCTTTTAAGAAACAAAGTCAAGGTCGAAAATTATAAGCGAGTTTATTTTCAAGGTTACAAATGTTTTTGTTTCTTTGAATATCAAAAAATCTTTTTACAAAGTTTCCAAACATTAATTTGCCAAAACTTCGATGTTATAATTTTTAAAACAGCCGTCTAATTTATTTCTGATGGTATTTGACTGACGAATAATTGTGAGGACTAGCACTTTGACACACTATCTGTAACCACATTTTATCTTAGTTTTGCATACATAATTGCTTGTATTTGCATATTGAGGTGTTCGTTTTCTGATAAATGTTAGTTGCTGATTCTCAAATACTTGATATTTATATAAAGTTCAGTAAATATGACCATTTTTTAATATATGTAGTTGATTACTGAAAAACTTTTTGATGATATTGTTAATATCTATGGAAACCTGTTATTGGCTTAATTTAAGTTACATCTGTCTAATTATATCAACCATGTTTGAGCTGTTGGTTTTCTTAAATATATATTTTTTTCGTTAGCTTGATTGATTAATACTTTATTGCACTAAAAATAAACACATAAAACAAAAAGAAATATATGAAGTGAAATGAAATGAAAATGTTTTTATTCAAGTAAGCTTGTTACAAGCATTTTTGAATCGTCCAAAAATATTTTTTCCCCTACCACTTGTTCAGGAATATGCAAAAGGCAGCCTTATTGCTAGGGTAGTTATTTCTACCAGGCAACCTTTGACTAACAGAAACGATAACCAAGAACAAATATAACGGGTTAGTAAATATACTTAACGACGAAAAGAGAGGAAAAAAAAGGAACAGTTTAATGGAGAAACAAAGTACTAAAATGAAGAAAGATCCAGCTTGAAGAAATAGTCCTTAACTTGTTTCACGAACGAGTCCCGAGACTGCGCGCGTCTAACTAACACAGACAAAGAGTTCCACAATATAATGGTTTTGACGAAAAATGACTTCTCTACAAAAACAATCGAGTGGGATGGGAACTAACTAAGGAAAGGTTATGGGAAGACCGTAGATCTCGGATAGGATTAATGGAGGAAAAGATAAAGCGCTCTTTAAGATAAAGAGGAGTATGTGGATGAAAGAGAATGGAATAAAGAAGTGATAGGAAGTGGCAGTCTCTTCTACGAGAAATAGGTAGCCAATGAAGTTGAGAACGGTAGTTGGAGATATGATCGTATTTGGGTAGATCAAAAATAAAACGAATACATAAGTTTTGGAGACGCTCAAGCAGATAATTGCGAACCGAAAGAGGGGAGTAGAATGAATTTTCATTATTTCAGGTGACATTAGAATTCTTATGACTCCTACAATCAACAGCACGTTAGTTTATACAAAACTGTGAAATTTCTTCACTGTATTTAAACCCGTTATACATTGAGAATAGAGTACAAATTTGGAATTTGACTTCGAATTTTGACATATTATGGTAGCCTGATGTGCAGCCATATGTATCAACGAGCTTTTAATCAAGCACTGTTCGCTCGCTGCTTGCTCGCGTATTGGATGTTCCATTTTTCATTTTGGTGATTTAGATATGCCTTTCTCTTTTTAGTTTTTTTATTTTATTTTTGTTAATTATTATAATTTCCAGCATTATTCTGTTTTAAACTGTGTTATTTTATTCTTTTCTAGTTTCATATTAGAGTAATAGCGCCATAGTTATATTATCTATACTAATATTATAAAGATAAAAGATTTGATTGTTTGTTTGTTTGCATCGAATAGGCTCCGAAAATACTGGACTGAATTTAAAAATTCTTTTATCTACTGATAGCTGTATCATACGGGGTTGAAATAGGCGATACGATACTTTCCACGATTATTTATTACTATTGTTCGTAATTTTAAGGGGCTAAGTAGTTCTATATGGAACGTAAAGATCTATTGTGCTCACCGGCAGAACTATAGTAGCTCTTTCAGTCCGGTAGCCTCTAAACAGTATTTAATATTGCTAACTTTAAAGCTTTTATATCCTATGGGTCGATTATGTTTTATCCCAGATGTATGCTCTTCCACGATGATTTGTAGAAAACATCTTATAGTGAAAATTTGCGCATAACTTATATGCACATTGTTTTTTTCACCTGAATACCTACATTCTCTTATCGTCTTAGTTTTATAGACTATTTAGTTGATGTTAATTTCTCTTTATGTGATATGATAAAAGTAATCTCGTTTGATTGACAATATAACGTAAACAATTACGCATCTTGTGTGTTTACGATAAGGTTGAGTTTGCAATAAAAACAATCGGTTTGCCCCCTTTTCCGGATTACAAATAGCAAAGAGATTGTTCACCTATTTAAAACAGTGTTTCCAAAACTGTGATCTGTGGTTAGTTATAGTTTCTTTATGGAGAGCCGCTGTCTTATCGACGAACTATTTGACAATAACTTAGTTTTTATCTGTGACAGTAGTAATATGCTACCAAAAGTTTCGTAACATTTCTTCAAACGTCACTTTCGTCACTACTCGTTATACTGTAAAGAAGAAAGATTTGGTTGATTGTTTGTTTGTATTGAATA